CGGGAAGCCTGCTTCTCCCTCTCCCACTCCCCCTGCTTGTGTTCCCTCTCTCGCTGTGTCTCTCTGTCAAATAAATAAAATTAAAAAAAAAAAAACTTAAAAAAAAAGTGAACTGTGGTAAATATTTTCGTAAAGTAAGTAACTATTAGAATGTCATCTGGTTTGTGATTTGTAGAACCTGATTTGGACACATATGCAGAGTGATTAGATTTGAGTAAAAAGGCAAATAAGCAACACAGTGACGGCCTCTGGAGAAGCAACAGGAGATGGTGCTGCAACACCAGACTTGTTGAAGACGCGACGAATCCCAGTACACACAATGAACAGCAAAATGTGAGCCCAGCAAAAAGCGGACAACAGGCAAGAGACTGAGCCAACTGAAGAAACCCCAGATACCCCCTTTCCCCCCAACCTGGAGGTCATGACACTGAAGGGCCATGAGGAAGCACCTGCTCCTGGGGAGCCTGCTGCTCTCCTGGCCAGTCATAGCACTTTTCACAAGGCTCACATGGGAAATGTGATGTGCCCGCATCTCTAATAAGCCACAAATACTCATCTTTATTACAGCTAGTCTCATAAAAACTAAATTTCATCTTTTTCAAGCAATGTACAAGTTTTACCATGGAAACAGAATCTTAAAATGCAAAAAAATGGTCTTGTTCTTCAGTATTTTTTTTTAAGTAAGCTCTATACCCAATGTGGGGCTTGAACTCAGGATCCCGAGATCAAGAGTCACATGCTCTACCAACTAAGCCAGCCAGGCACCCCTGTTGTTCAATATTCTTTATTGAAATCTCACCAGAAATTGATAGGATTCTGCAACTAACAAAGAGGGGGAAAAAAAAAAAACCTCTGGAGTCACTGTCAAATATCACACTGTAGTATGCAAAGACTCAAATGATACTTATCTGTAATCTGCTTTCCATATTCATATTAACCTACCCATACATAACTCCCCAAAAAAATTTAGTCACAGAAATCATAGATCATGGCTTATCAAAATTCTTCATTTTTAAGTTTGAGAATAAAAGATTTTTTAAGTCCAAGGAAGATATTATAAGAGCTGATAAACAGTAGATTAAGAATCCTAAATTATTTATCCAAATACATACACATACACAATCATATATATAAATGTATTTCTTACAATTTGTTGCAAATCTTTCCCAATCTTTGAAGAGCTTAAGATAAATTATTATTAGTTCTAGACTGTTTATAAAGATATACATATACATTCTGTTTTGACACCAAACAAAGCCCAGAAACCATACAACTATGTAACAATAACCACATCAGTGGGAGTTGCCAGAAAATGGCTTTTTAAGATTTCATTTATTTGAGAAAGAAAGAAAAAGAGGGAGAGGGAGAGAGAGAATCTCAAGCAGACTCCATGCTGAGCATAGAGCCTGATGCAAGGGCTTGATCTCACGACCCTGAGATCATGACCTTAGTCGAAACCAAGAGTCAGAAGCTCAACCAACTGAGCCACTCAAGCGCCCCCTCTCTTTCATAAATTTTATTCATAGCAAATGGCTTTTAAAAAACAAGACTAAATAAAGCTAAAATTTGATTGGCAAATATTTGGACAATTCCAAAAAAGCACTATACGGCTATAGAGATTTGGTTTCCAAATCTCAAGTGATCCTGGTTTAAAACATTCTCTCTGGCAGAAAAGCAAGCTCAGATAGTGTTATTCAGGCAGATAAAGTAAGCGTCTAATGAATCTCTGAGTGTGTCTGAACATTTAAGGTAGGCTTTGATTCTATAACTGACTTTTAGCCAGAGTACATATAGTAGGACCTTAGAGCCAGTGTGAACCTCCTGGATATAATACAACTATCCTAACCCACAGAAACATACACAGGAACCCACAGTGTAAGTGCTACAGGTACTTATGAAAGCAAACGCTTTCAGGTGGGGGAACCACTCATGGGTAAATGACTGCAGCCCACTCTTCACTGGAAAAGGTCTGACACCTGTGAGCCCTCCTGGGCCAGAGAACTAACAAGAGCCATGAACGATATGATGTTGGCAGCTAATCCTACATGTCCCTGCTTCCTTCTTTCTAGGACTGCGCCCTTGACCCAAAGTTTTTGGAACTGGTAAAACTGAGGAGAGAAAATTCAGGGAAGGTTCACTCACATCACTGATTGTGGAGAATGTATGTGAGGAGTACTGAAAACCCTGCTTCATTCCTCCCTAAGTAACACCTTGACTCGATTCAGTTTTCCTGGCTTGAAAAAAACCCCAATTTGATGAATGTTCGAATATATACGTTTGAACTGATGTGTTATTTTGTACCCTGTTTTCTGTAAAACAAAGTCTTTGGCCCTGTAAGAGCAGATCTGTTGTTTAGAACACAAATCCATCATGTAAGATACAGGTAGCGTGATAGAGGCTACTGGAAGAATGGCAACTGAAGTAAAATTTGGGTATGGAGGAGAGGAATATGCTCTCTGCAGACAACACTGACCCACATGTGCCCTAGGAACTGCCGATTCCACTTTAGGGTAGATATAGCTAAAGAAGCATTTGGTTAAGGCTGTTGAAGGAGGTAGCAATGAAACTGAAAGCAGTTAACTTGGGCACTGTTCAAATATTGGTAAGATGATACTTACACTGTGCTAAATGCCATGTGCTATTTTAAGCACTTTACATATATTAACTCACTTAGACCTCGTAACAACTCCACGGAATAGGTACCATTGGTATCCTCAGGAAACTGACATAGAAAGAGGAAAGTCACTTGCCTAAGGTCCCACAGCTAGTAAGTGGCAGAGCTGGGCTCCAAACCCAATCCGTCTGGCCCTAGAGCCAGTACTCGTACACATTGCGCTGACTGCTAACTATGTTTTTCTTAATTGAGCTAAAAAGAAAAACAAGAGTAATTGCAGATAAACATAAATGACTCTCTAGAAGCTGTTCAAAATATGTCAGGGAGTTTTTTAACAGGCCATAATCACAATAACCACAAAGTAAGTTACTAAAAATAAAAAACAAAAATGTTACCTTTAACATGCTCTACTAAAAATTTAATATTCATTTTATGTATTCATTATAAAGTACTCTTAGTTCAATTATAAAATTTAAGTTTTGGGTTTTTTCTTTTAAATAGAAAATACAAGTACGGGCTTCTAATTTATGTTATATTTGGAAAGACTGATTTACACAAATCCTAATGTGATGGGCTACCAAATACTTGGCACCTCTAAGCAGTGAAAGTTTCATCAAAAAGACACAGTAATGTTCTCACCAATATTAATAGAAACTTACATATAAAAACTACTATTTGAAACTTTTAAGTCATAAAACACCAAGCCAAAAGTTTTTCTCAACCTCTTCTTTCCTAAGCATAACTACGTCTCCTCAATGGGGGTAGTTTCGTGACAATGCCCAAATTTCACAGGAAGGTGGGCACGTGGGCCTTTCCCCTCCTCATCAGAAGTTAATTTGTTAGGACTTATGGTGGCCACATGATGTTTCAAATACTAGTAGGAAACAAATGAGTCGACTTAGGAACACAAAAAGTAAACTGTGATATAAAGAATAAGGAAAGGGATGCAACATTTCAATAAGCTCAGATATGACATGATGATACTATCACAGGCCTGAGTATCTTCTTTATCTCCTAAATAAGTTGAGCCCCCAACAGGAAAAAGGTCACCTCACAGAGAACGCTATGAGATTTTTAAGTCGCTAGACTCCTTTCCATCTTCTCTTCCTCATCAGCTCTTGATACTGCTGTCAAATTCTACAAACTGGCAAAGAAAAAAGGGGTGAAAGTTGAGGGATTGTATAGAGAAATAATAAAAAAATTTGTGACTATTAGAACTAAAATATTATAGCGATTGTTATAATTTAAAATGCCTACAATATGTGGCCTGTCCTTAAAGAAATGTCAAGTGAACATTAAAACCATAAAATACCTGAGAATGGAATTCATTACATTTCGGCAAGAACAGCAACTTTCTATCTCCCACCCACCCTAGGAAGCTCAATTCATCTTTACAAAGGCACTGGGGAAATGTGCTTGTTCCTTATAATGGCTGTCAATTCAGAGACAATTTGAAGTACAACTACCAACGACTAGGAGTCTCAAACTTGCTGAGTATTCACTTCTTATCTCAAAAGCATCTCCACAGACCTAGAACATGAGGGCATTCACCTAGAATGGATACACAGGGACTAAGCCATTGAGAAGGCTGGAAAAGGGGCACCAAGGAGCTTTTCACAAACTATAGGCTTTTCCATACCAAATGATGCTGCCAAGCCCTGATAGGCCATATGAGCCTGACAGACTCTTAATGCACTGATTTTTTTTAAAATCCTTTTTAAAAAAGTAATTGAGATGTAATTTATACAACACAAAAATTTCACCATTTTAAAGTGTACGTCTCAGTAGTTCTTAGTATATTCACCATGTTGGAGAATTACTGCCACTATCTAATTCCAGAACATTTCCATCACCCCAAAAATAAACCCCATACCTATTATCATATGCACTGATTTTACCCATACTTTCTCCGCAGATATCTCTGTGGCCCATGCAGTATTTTAAGATGGCTGGCTGGTGTGAATCTACACAGTATCTATATGGTAAGAAAACAAGAAAGCTACATTGTCCAGAAGGATACTGAACCCAAATTCTTGGCATTTTTAGCAATTACACTAATGTAATTTTTATATATTGGCTAAGAATGGCAGAGAAACTTACATTCAACATCCATCTTCACTTAACACATTAGTGTGCCCCAAATTCATCCAAGATGTTAAAAGAAGGGAAGACAATCTACTAGGATTAGCCATAACTGTCCATAGTTGCAATTTCAAAACACAGAAGATGCAAATGTGGGAAAACCTCCTTTAGTATCAAGCATAGCTGGATTAAAAAAAAACAACAACAACAAAACGAAAAACTTAATCATTAAGTAAATACTGCCCCGTTTGGGAAAATAATCCCTACACCAGTCCAGTATTTAAAGTAATGTAGCTTTAAATGCAACCTTACTTTTATCATTCTTGTGACACCTAGAGCCTCTCCTAATGAGAAAAATAACCTTTAGGCAAAGGTCTGGCAGGAAAGCCTGCAGATGTGTGATGCTCAGGCTGCTGCAGGGCTCTCATTACCTAAGTGAGCTCATGGCTTCTAAGACACACAGGAAGGAGACCTCACCTTCAGGCATCAGGGTGTTGAAAGCGGGAGGAAGTAGGTCCACGAGGGTGTCTTGCTTTTGTGCACTTATCTGGGGTGCTATTTCCAGAGAAGGAGCTCCTTTATAGAGTGTGCCCAAGATGGATTTCTCTAAGTTGCTCTCAGAGTTGTCCAGCTGCCCTCACCAATAAGTCAGTCTTTGTAGGTTGATAGAAACCACCAGTCAAAGCAGATGCAAATGGATTGTGGGGAAGCCTTCTTTAGTATCTAACATAGCTGGATTAAAACAAAAAAACTTAACCATTAAGCAAATCTTCATTTTAATCATTACTTTCATAGCAAATATCAACTAGGTGCTACACTTGGTTCTACCCTTCCATGGGCACTTAATTATGAATGGGAGTTTTGTGGGCTTGAGTGAAGACCACAATGAGCTCTTAATTTTTGTCCGGTAAGAAATTAGTTCTACTTGATAAACAAGTAAACAAGATCCAGAAATATTTATTGGTAATTTAACTCATGCTTGCTGACATTGCCTAGCAACACTTCCAGTGACTTCTGTTGTGCAACAAGCTGTACTCTAGTAATGTATTTACAATTTTACTGCAACTTGCAATAATGATTTAAATACATTTTCATTTCCTGGATTTTCCAAAACACAGTCAGATGCAATCAAGTAAAGTTCATGACATATATACAATGTATAAATTAACAAATTTGCCTCAAAATAGTTATCTATGGAAGTAGTGCTACATTGTCCCTGTTTAAAGATGCCCAGGGAACAGTCCTAAGTTAAAAAAAAAATAATAACACTTAGCTAGATGAGGCTATAAAGCATTTATCCTCTACCTATAAGAAACCACCCAGTGGGGCGCCTGGGTGGCTCAGTCGTTAAGCGTCTGCCTTCAGCTCAGGTCATGATCCCAGGGTCCTGGGATCGAGCCCCGCATCGGGCTCCCTGCTCCGCGGGAAGCCTGCTTCTCCCTCTCCCATTCCCCCTGCTTGTATTCCCTCTTTCGCTGTGTCTCTCTCTGTCAAATAAATAAATAAAATCTTTAAAAAAAAAAAAAAAAAAGAAACCACCCAGTGGCCAGTGAAACTCCAAAAAACCTTCACTAAACTAGAATTTCATTTTCCTTTACCCCAAGGGCATTAAGAGGCCTGAGAATCAACTGCAAGTGAAAGAATCCAAAAATTATCTACTGTCTTTAAGGCTTACATCCTCTTATAGGGTCTAAATAATAAGGCAGAAACCTGGATATTTTGGAAGGCAGGTTTTTTTTTTTTTGGTGACCTTTCAACTATAGACTTTTAATAATATAATTGCTATACACTAAAAAACCCGAAGTTAGCTAAATTTGTAGACACATTTGGGAATGTAATTGCTCCAAAATTTCCCATTCTTAAATCTGTTTTTATAAAACTCTTCTAATACAAGATGGGAGTTGTTCTGAAAACAGGTGGATTAAATTCAGTCTTTGTCAAATAAAAGTACAAATTACCTAGCAAGATGTGAGGTGGTTCTTGTATTGGAAGAGGACTAATACATGCACATTATCATTTTACTGCATGCTAATCAAATACTTGGAGCTGAATAAGAGTAAATTCTAATATAGCCATTTTCTAAAGGGTTGGATTCCTCAGGTCTAGCACAAGTGCCTACTATACCAATTAGCTAAAAGGATTATTTCAAAGTTTTTCTTAAAGCAAGATTATGCATGAGTTTAGGAAAAAAATACCAACAAAATTATCATTCAAACTATGTTATGAATAATCCTCTTGGTTTAGGAAGATGAGAGCTCAAATTCTAGGACTTTATTTGTGGGGCAAGAAGGCAAGCCTATGGAAAGGCAATATTTGTTTTTGGTGGATTCAACCAAGTTTGCCAAGACTGTCTGCCATTATGATGAGTGGCACTCAATTTTTAAACTTTTTTTAAAGTTTATGTTTAAGTAATCTCTACACCCAGTGTGGGGCTCAAACTTACAACCTCAAGATCAAGAGTCACATGCTCTGCTGAGCCAGCCAGGTGCCCCGAGGGGCACTCAATTTTAACGCATTTCTTCTGGATTATTGCAAAGATTATTGCATATCACATAATCTCAGATAATATCAGGCACAAAAAACACACAAAGTTATTGTAATTCATGTACAAGTTTTAAAAAAGTAAAAAAAAAAAATTAACCAGTAAAAACATACATACCAAAAAAAAAAAAAGGTCTATATTTGTATTCCACAAAGGGATCTATGCAATATATAAGGCCACATTCAGACTGGTACAAATTCTGGAAATTCATGCTGCAAGTGAGAATTAAAAAAATGCTGGCCAGCTCAAAATTTTAAAGTAAACATTAAAATCAAAATAAAAATATTCCTGTGGTCTAACCTTCAAGGGTAACAAATGGGTTCACCTTAAAAAAAAAAATCAGTGCCAATAAGTGTACAAGTGCCATCATCTGTATCCTCAAACTCCCTGCGCTCCTAAGACCTGGGATGACAAGGGAATGAAGTTTTCCAAATCATCACAGCTTCTGAATGCCCATAAATCTACCAAGGAAGAAAATGGATGTCTACCTCTTATTTCTGGAGATAAAAACATAAACCTATACACAAATGAACAGTTAACAGGATATAAAAAGATGGGAACACCTACAACCTCCAATCACCCAATCAAGCTTGGGCGTTCATCTACTTCTGTTGATAACTAAGCCAACTCAAGCGCCAAGGCTGATTATTCTGCACTTACCCCACAAGCAAAGGAAAGACAGATTTTAAACAAATAAGCATCAACAGGACAAAAACGCAGATGTTAACATTTACACAGATGTTGACTCGTTTCATCTGTCAATTCAAAATGGTAAGAAAACCCTTCTAATATAGATTCCATAGTCTACTCAATGACAACACAACATACAGAGGTTGCTGAAACATTACCCAAAGTATTATACGTATTTTACTGAAAAATAACCGAGCAACCAGATTATAAAGAAGTTCCAATTATGGGAAGTATGCAGATTTTCAAATCAAAACCATACTGCTGCTTGACCACACCATTCAACTGACCAGTATCCTCTAAGGTAAGATCATTTCACCAAAACCGATGGAAGGATGGCAGAAAGAACTGCAGTGAGAAAGGACCCGCAAAGCAATGGCCACAATAGAAAAGTAACAGTTAACACAAGTCAGACTGTAGCCAAGAAAAAGCTTCAACTTATTTCAACCAATAGCAGGGAATCTCACAAAGAAACCAATAAGCTTCCTAAAACCCATGTCCCCCAATCCCAAACAGTTTCCCAACGGGGCTTACTTCGGTGAGTGACAAACAGGAGCTCCTCCTGTCTAGTTTCAGTTCCTTCTACTCCAATAGAGGCTTCCTGCTCTCGGCTCACCAGGCGGCATTACTGGGTGGCTCTTAAGGGTTGCAAGGCTCACGTCCACCTGGGGGGTCCTTCTAAACACGCACAGCACCTGGGAGCCCCAAACGGATGGGAGGCGCTCAAAGAGCACGGGGGGGGTGTGTGTGTGTGAAAATGGAATCCAACATTTTGCTTAACAGGAGGGCCCGCCTCTGCAGCTTTCCTTCTCCCGAGGCACCTAGCACTAGGTGGTCCTTTAACGTGCTTGAAAGGACACGAGGAGGAGGCAAGGACCTACACTCAGACACACGCAGATTCCCAGGGAGGGGGTTTTCCAGCTACTGGATTCCTGCGGTGTGAGCGCCGGGGCTCCCTCTGCCAGTGTACTTCGCTTGGGCCTGGAGACACATTCGGACCCCATCGCCCTCGGGGTCCCCGACTCAAGCTGGGTCAAGTGTCCCAGCGAGTTCCAAGCAAGAGAGGCCTCCACAGACAACATACGGGCTTCAGGGACACAAAAGGCCTCCCGGGCAAGGAACCCGGGGCGCCTGACAGAACCTCGCGCCGTCATTCGCAGCGGCTCTATGGCTGGCCCCCGAGGCACCCATCCTGGTTCTGTGCTGGGCTTCTTATCGCCCCACAAGTGCCTGATACTGTGGTTTTACGGTCTGAGGAACAGTTAGGCCTCACAGGCCTGGCCTGAGATGTGCGCTCTCCGAACCCCGCACTCCCGCCTTCCCCACTCAGCGGCGGGGCCCGGCTTTCCCGCCCCACAGCCCGACCAGGGGTTGGTGGCAGATGGAGGCAGTTGGGACCGGCCCCAGCAGGTTGGAACCGGTCTGGGCCGGGCCGGAGGAGGAAGGGGGGGAGGGAGAGGCCGCCTCGCGCTCTCCCTGCGCGCGTGACTCACGCTGGCCGCTGACGTCAGGCGTGCGCGCGCGGCGGGGGGGGCTCTACGTACGTGTAGTGCTGCGGTTTCTCGGGCTGTGCCTGCAGCACCTGAGCGGTAGCGGCCGGGGGCGCCGAGGAAGCTGCGGAGCCGCCGGGCCCGGGGCCCTTCGACATGGTCCTGTCTTCCTGCCTCTTCGCCGCTCCCCTTTTATTATTCAGTCTGCGCGGTCCGCGCCGAGGATCCAGTGCGCCTGCGCCGCGCCACGAGAACGTGAAGACCCCCCGCACGGCCGCAAGGGTTGCTGGGAGTTGTGGTCCTCCGTTCGGCTGGAATTTTACCGTCGGCAGAGGGTGGCTGCCAAAGGAATGGACCACAATACCCAGGGATCCTTGCAGATGATGTCCCGGATGCTGAGGGCCCGCCACGGCTTGTGGGGATTGCAGTCCCGCCGCGTTCCTCCTTCTTGCTAGTGCGTTTCCAGTTTCTTAGGGGAGCTTTCCTTGAAACTGGAGCCTCTGGAGTAGAGAGGGCCCAGAGCTAGAGAGGCCCTAACGACTTATGTGAAACAGTCCAAGTGTAATTTCGCCACCAACAGTGTAGTAATTATCTCGCCGTCAGACTTAGTCGGTCTTGGGTTCAGTGCTGATGCCGGCCCCAGGAGTGCTTCAGAATCTGTATTGTCCGTTCTTAGCTCTGGGCCTTTGTGCTGCAGGCACCTGCAGTCCGCCAACATCCTCTTCATTCCTGCGGCCAGGCCAACTGGGGAGGCATGAAGGAAAGTCTGCCTACTGGAAGTCAGCTTAAGAAATCTTTGCCAAAGTTGAGCTACACGGCCAATACTCTGTTCCCGCGTCTTTGCGGAGGCGCTCCGTAAAGCTTTACCAACCCTGAAACCTGGAACCCCACGACTTGGGTCCCTTCCCAAATCGACACCTGGCCTGACCAACTTGTTTCCAGTACATTAGGGGCCAAGGACGAATTTAATCTCCGTCTAGAACAGTCTCAGGTACACCGACGAGTTGCAGGGGAGTTGAGAAGCTTCGCACACTGTCCAGAAGCAGAGCCTCGGGTTGAGTCGGGGGTGCAATTTAAAATCCACTGCAGTTTCCTTCTCTGGACCTCAGCTTTTCTGTGTTTTCCGACCCCACTTCCCACTAGTAGGGCGAAGTTCTTCACTCTGTGGCTTTTGTCAAATAAGCCAATTCCCTCTTTACAAAGTTCTTTATAGATCTATTGACAGTTGTCATTTAGCTTTGTTTTCCATAATGAATCTATTTAAATCCCTTGTTTTTAAGAAATTTATATTTGATTAGATAGGTTAACTAATGATTGTCACGTTAAGGAAAAACGTTCCCAATAACCTTAGGGGTGAGGGAGGGTGGGGTGAATGGAAAATTGTTAATGTTCAAGAATGACACATATTTTATTTAGTTCTGAGTAACCTCACATCAGAAGCCAAATTGTCTGCCTACAAAGTTGAGGAACTGGTATTTCCTAAACAGGCCAAATCAATTGTTTAACCACTAGGGGCGTGCGAAGATGAAAAATTCCAAAAGGACAAATAAAAGTTGTAGTTGTATTGGTTTAACCCTGTTATTAAATCCAAGTAATTGGTTTATATGTTATCCCCAAAATACCTGAGTGTGATTTGAATGAAGAAATATAGTCCATAGCACTAGACTTTAAGAAAGCGTATACCATAAGCTTCAGGATGAGTGTGTACTGGTAAAATTGGGAGATGATATCATCCAAACTGTTTAACTTACAAAAGAGAAAACCGAAACTCAGAGAAGTAACTTGCACAGTTCCTCAGCAAGCCCATGGCAGAACAGGAACTAGGACGGGAGCCTACATGCTGCATCACATTCTACATTGTTTTGATTGTATAAACATTTTTAGTTCTTTCGCATTTCCTGTGTTGCCTTTCCTCTCCTGTGCCAATTTAGGAAAAAGAAAAACCCGCGTGACTGCCAAGTAAGAAGGATGAACTATTCCCACTAATCGTCCTTTAAGTAGATGAATGTAAATCTATACCTAGTTTCTGCTGGAGCAATTAGTTCTCCTCTAGTAATTAGCCAAACTGCAAAAAGAAAAACAAAACTGGAGTGTCTGTCCTCTGGAGGCTTGAGACAGACAGAATTCTGGATCTTTTAGAAAATCTTTGGAACTCAAAGGCATTGTTAACTTAGGAACCCATTTCTTCCCCAGGCCATTTGGGCAGTCAAAAATGTTAACAGGGTATTTTTCTGGTTACATCCCAGAACATTTGAGAGCGTTTTGTGTGGGATCTAACCAGTGCCCTGATTCTTAGCCTTACTCAAGTTCTGAGGACAGGGCAAGAGCCTCCATCTTGGTTTCTCAGCATCGCATGAATGAAAAAGAAAAAATTTCTCCCATACTGTAAACTTTGGGCAGAAGGCAGAAATTAAAGTTGACCAAATTATCACATAAAAGTTTAGGTATGTGATAATTAAATACAAATTGTGCCTGTTAAGATTGAGAGGGCTGAAATGAGAGGAATTTGATATCAGATTGGGTCAAAGACATTTTTACCATAGCAGCTTTTTCATATTGCTCATTTTCCCCCTCACTATTGATACTGAGAGCAGACCTTCCATGTCACAAGTAAATTTTTGAGGTATTTGTATTTATGTACAATAAACATTTGAGTTGAAATTACATGTACATGGTTTTGCTATTTTTTTTATTTTGATAATTTAAAATATTCAGTGGAAAAAAATTCACTAAACCCAGAGTAGGAACTATGGAATAAAATGCACAAAGCTCTATTTCAATTTTCTGAGTTTTGTTTGGCTGGTCTTAAACTTTACCCTGCTTTGGTATTTTATATACCTGTATCAGCAGGAGAACTGAAAATTACAATTCCTCAAATACATTTATTTAGGCAAAGGTAGGGATTACCGTTTTTATACATTTGTCGTGTTTCTTAGAAGTAGTACCTACGAGAATATACCACTAAATACAAGGGCACATATTTAATTTTCTTTCATTTATTCTTTATGGACATGCAAATGCTGTCCTAGGACTATTTCCATTTTGGCTGTAATCATTTCATTCAGTTGAATTACATAATTCAAAAATATGTTGCTCAGTAGGTTACTTCTTTAAGCTATTGAAATCACAAAGTATTTTGTGATAGCCTAAGAACATACAAAACAGTACTTATAAAATCATATATTGACATATTTTTTTGTGTCTACTATTTACCCCTACCTACACCACCAAACAAAAGAACTACTTTTTGGTTAAAATATATATGCGTGATATATAAAATACTTGGTAGTATAATATGATTTGCTGAATTCTAATTCTCTTTTACACTATGTACATAACCATCAAAATGTGAAAGTAAATAGTCAAGGGAACACATTTAGTTTTACATTGGAAAATACGGACAAGAATTTCCTTTAAGTAACCTCTCCTCCTGCATTTTTTTAGCGAGATGCGAATTTGGTCAGGTTCCTACCCACCCTGACCCTTAAGTCCTGATAGAGACCAATGCAATTCATTTGCATTGACTTTCTATTGTAGAGCTTTGGAACCAAGGGAAGGATCCAAACATAGCTTCATTTTATCCAATCAGAAGAGCTGCTTCGTGCTAATCTCTGATTCGTCCATTCCTCTTTGCATTCATCCAATCATCAGGCCACTTTAACAGCCAATCGGCGGCCTAGATGCCCACCAATCCGGGAGCGAGGCCGAAGCACGGCCTTTGTGTCGGGGATGTCAGCGCGTCGGCGAAAGCTCCCGCCAATAGAAAAAGTCGTTGGTGTATGCAAATTAGGCCTCTGTGACGCAGAGACGCAGCGTGAAGCGTGGGTATAAAAGCGAAGGCAAAGGGGGGGTTTGGAGCACAGAGCGGTTTGGTCGTTCGTTGGACGGTCTTCTTTTCTTGGTCGGCGACTGCGGCTCTTCATTGGGCAGCAGGAGCGGCGCGGCGGTCGGAGAAGCGGTCTAAGACTTCGACATTGGGTAAGCGTTGGCAGGTTCGCTCGTGGTTCGAGACCCTGTCGGCCGTTGTTGCCGCGGGCCGCAGCCGTTGCAAGCGGAGTGCTGGCTGGTGCGGGCTGCTCGGGCCGCTGGCGTCGGGTGTGGGGCCGGGAGGTTTTCCCTTGGGGCTTCGTTCGGGAACCGCGTCTCCGCCTCCTTCCCGGTGGTGATTCAGAGGTCCCGACGCCGGGTTCCGGGCAAGCGGGGCCTCCGCCCGTCGAGGAGGGGAAGTGACTCCTCCCCGCGCCCCCCCTCCCGGGGGAGGCTGCTGCCGCTCCTCGCAGCCTGAGTCATTAGGGGAGGGGGAGGAGGCGGCGGCCCCGGGCCATCTGCCGCCGCGAAGAGGCGGGAGGGCAGGGGCACCGAGCCTGTCCCCCCTCCTGGGGGCGAGCGCCGCGGCCCCGGAGTCACGGATGTCTTCTTTAGGTAAAAGAAAATGGCTCGAACCAAGCAGACTGCCCGTAAATCCACGGGTGGGAAAGCGCCCCGCAAACAGCTGGCCACTAAAGCCGCCCGGAAAAGCGCCCCTTCTACCGGTGGGGTGAAAAAACCTCATCGCTACAGGTAGGCGAGGCGGCAGGAAAACAATGACGGGGCGGCCCGTGGCCCGTGTGGGAGCGCGTCCTGGGGCTGGCGCCGGGCGCTGGCCGCCCCCGGGTGTCCGCTTACACTGCCCTGCTCGCTGCAGGCCCGGGACCGTAGCGCTTCGGGAGATCCGTCGTTACCAGAAATCCACCGAGCTTCTGATCCGGAAGCTGCCTTTCCAGAGGTTGGTGAGGGAGATCGCCCAGGATTTCAAAACTGATCTGAGGTTTCAGAGCGCCGCCATTGGCGCGCTTCAGGTAAGGCGAGCACGGCTGTAGTAGGGTCGGAGGGCTCGTGCGTGGCTTCTCCTCCTCGACTAGAGTTTAATAGTGTGGCTCTTGTCCTCAACAGGAGGCCAGTGAAGCGTACCTGGTGGGTTTATTTGAAGATACTAATCTGTGTGCCATCCACGCTAAGAGAGTCACCATCATGCCCAAAGACATCCAGTTGGCTCGCCGGATACGGGGAGAGAGAGCTTAAGTGAAGGCAGTTTTTATGGTGTTTTGTAGTAAATTCTGTAAAATACTTTGGTTTAATTTGTGACTTTTTTTGTAAGAAATTGTTTATAATATGTTGCATTTGTACTTAAGTCATTCCATCTTTCACTCAGGATGAATGCGAAAAGTGACTGTTCACAGACCTCAGTGATGTGAGCACTGTGGCTCAGGAGTGACAAGTTGCTAATATGCAGAAGGGATGGGTGATATTTCTTGCTTCTCATGATGCATGTTTCTGTATGTTAATGACTTGTTGGGTAGCTATTAAGGTACTAGAATTGATAAATGTGTACAGGGTCCTTTTGCAATAAAACTGGTTATGACTTGATCCAAGTGTTTAACAATTGGGGCTGTTAAGTCTGACCATACATCACTGTGATAGAATGTGGGCTTTTTCAAGGGTGAAGATACAAGTCTTAACCACAGTGTAACTTACAGTTTCCTTAAAAAAGAAAAGAAAAAAAAAAAAAAAAGTAAACTTGGCAGCTATAGAATACACTATGTGCATTTATAATAGCTATTTTATATATTGTAGTGTCAACATTTTTAAATTAAATGTTTTACATTCACATGTGGTGGGGAGTCTTGTCATTAAGGTGTGTGTAATTTAAAGTCCAGTTGGTTTTCTCCTAACTAGACTGCACTTGTTTTCATAATAGTAAAATGCTTTGCAAATTATACCTTGCATAAGTCCTCATTCTACCACATGTTAACTAACCCTCTAGCTGATTAATGCAAACACTAATGGGGGGATTTTATTTATAAGGGCTCTAGACTATAATACAAGTTATTCACACCAGCATCATCTGTTATAATATTTAAACTAGTTAGTGCAGCTTTTCTTTGTGTAGTGGTTGTTCTCATAACTAGGTTGAGTTTTTCTCTACCAAGAGGAAACAATACCGAAGTTCTTTTCTTTGTGGAGTTTGTATTATAATAACCCTTAGAGTAAACTTGCTGTGGGGGAGGGGCACACAACTCCAGCTTCTTGAACCTCTGCCAGTTAAGATGGTGTCCAGTTAGGTTACATCTGATAACATGGTCCTGGGAAAATCACTTTATAGAGATGGCCTTCCAAGTGGTTTTAAAAATTACCTTTCTATTGAAATCTTTAGGTCAATTATGTATGTTGACTAAATTCACAAATAAACTTGTTTATTCAACTAAGTGTCAAAAACCTACATTGAATATACAAAGCTTAAATAGATACATTATCTTGATTCTTTGTATCCTGAAGTTTGAGCTTAGTTTATACCTGGTTTTGCTCGGTAGACAAAGGAACCATTTATACACAAAAGTAATAATTTCTTTGTACAAGTTATTTTAACACAAGTCCACAAGTATAGAACTCTTTGTTGGTCTAAGCTGCTTTTTTTCAGTATAAAGCTAGTTTTCTTGACCAGTGATGGTCTGCTATATGCATAGGATCTAGATGTCAGCAAGACAAGGGCACAAGAGCCACTGGTCATCAGACAAGCATTCTGGGTATTTGAAGCTGGTAGCTATAGAAAGATAGTTGTGCCCTAATAACGTAGCTTCTTTTTTAAAAAAAAAATTGTTTGGTTTCAAATTCAAGGGACTTAGGGAGAGAGGCAAGCTAGGATAGGTTTGATTCTTGGCAACTTAATGAGCCTTCATGAGGCATCAAAGATGGAGTCTGATCTATAACGAACTGGTTTTCTAGAAGGTTCATCATAACTAGCTCTGGAACAGTGACTTCCCAGTTCTGATGATCTCAACATTGTGCTGCTGAAGGACATTGGTGTGATCCTGGACAGTGGAATGTGCTGTGGAGTACCTCCACAGTGTCTGAGTACAAGTAGACTTTCACTATGGTGATGTCAGTTTGTTGAGTTTACTAGTTGTGATAACACAAGTGGGGTGAAACTTGAACCTTCTACCCCAGCCCATCTTCTCTACATACTGATGTAGAGGTTTATGGATTTTACTGGGCAGCTGGGAATCTGCTGCTTTAAATAGTGCAGCTTGTGCTTCCAGACTTTGAGCATACTTAACCCAGAAGGCAAAAATATCTTTCGGTTCTAGGAAGCTGCCCACACAGGATAACCCTGGGTTTAAATGATGGGACAGACTCTGTAAGGAGAAAAAAGCTGGAGCTGATGAAGGTATCCCGTGCCCTTGATGGATGAGACAAAAATAAAGTTTTTGAAGTTGAGACTATTCCATCTTGTTAGTGGTCTTCATTTGAATTGATAACATCTATTTCTTTCACAAATTTTCCTGTGGGGAAATACCTGGAAAGTTGCCTTCTGACTCCTGCTGGGGGTGGGGGGAATGCATTCAGTAATGACAGGCAGACCCCCTATTCTGGAAGGTGATACGTGTCACAATTTGCTTAGGACAGTGCCAGGTGATGCCTGTTGAACCTGTGTATTAATAGTGCGTTTCTTGACTGTCAGCGGACTTGATTTCAGCCAGACCAGTTTTGTTGAGGGCTGGAAGTGCCAGTATCCTGACTGTCCGGCTACCAGAAGATTTCTGAACCAAGCCACTGATTGCCCTCATCCTGAAGCCCTTAGCCTGTGCCCTTAAGGTAGCTGAAGGGCCAAGTTGTGAAATTGCTGGTCACAAGCCAGGTCCACCTTCATGAGGGTGACCCCCATTGCTCTCCCTCCACACTTGTTTGTCCTGTTTCCCCTTTCACACCCCCTCCCCTGTTAGGCAGTTACACTTTGTAATTGTGGACCTATGGGCCCATGCTGCTGGGTCCGTCAAATAGCCCTGCTTCATCCCTAAGCTGGTCAGTATGTAGACTAGATGATTTAGACAACACACAAGTTACATCCTATTTACAAAATTCAAGGTGGTAAAGAAAACTAGAGGGGCAAGCACTTCAAACCCGGCTTACTTCCAGAGATCGATCAGCGCATGCACAAAAGTTAACTCCTCTCCATCGCACCGCCCGAAGGAAGGAGAGCAGTTCTGGGAGAGGCCAGCAAGGGCCACCCCACGCCCCTTACCAGGCCTCCCAGCCCCCTAGGGGCCTCTGCTGCCAGCCAGAGCGATGTCTCCAAGTGTAGGGAAGCAAGCTCTGAGCCCACTGGCTGGACTGGAAATTTAGTCTTTCCCACTCATTTCCAGTCATTCCTCAGCTGTCTCCCAACAGCGGTCTTCCCTGGAGCTCCCCCTACCTGGGTCCTTGCAAGCACTGCCTGTGGCCTGGTGGGCATTGGGGCCGGGGTCTGTGCAGCAGTTGGAAAGCAGGCCCCTCTGGATCACATTCAGGTAGGGTAGTAGAGGGCAGACACAGTCCAGCTAGCTGTCTGCCATGGGGTCGGCAGGAAACTCAGGCTTGCCCTGCAGTGACTGCAGGATGGGGCCGGCCTGTGTTTGGGAGCAACAGCTGAGGGCCAGACATCAGCCTCAGGCCTACGGCCAACCTAGCCTGCCACGGGGAAGGGCGAGGTGCAGTGTGCACCACACCCATCTGCAGCTGTTGTCTCCCTGGTGGGGCTGTGGTCCACTGGGCATAAGAGCTTTGAGTCCCCACCCTGCATATCCGGTCCCCACCCCTACCTCCTCATCCCTTGTGTTGGGAGCACTTCAGAGTCATCTCACTGAGGCGATCACAGCCCATGTCCCTCAGTCCTGACCCAGGCACTGCTAGAAGAACACAGCTGAGCTGGCTGTGGCTTGTCTGGGCCCCACAGTCTCTTCCTTCCCTCAGCCCGATGGTGGTCCCACCTGCCCCTGTGGACATTCCTCTGGGGTGTCCATCCAGCTGGGCCTGGCTTTTGGCCAGGAACTTCAGCACAAACAGCTGACCTTCCAGCTGCCTTCCTGAGGGCAAGGCTAGGGGAAGGAAGGAAGAGCCAAGCCCCTGGCCAGGTTGCTAACCCAAATCTTACACCACCCCCAGGGAGAAGGTTGAAAGTGCCCTCTTGGGCCAGATGGCTGGCCTTTTGGCTCCCTGACCCCTTTGTCAACACGTGTGGGGAATGAGCAAGGCTGTAGGTCGAGCTGGGTGCAGCTGGGACAGCTTTGAGTTTATACATAGGGGGCTGTGCTGTGAGGTGCGGCCAGAGCCTGATGTCCTCCCTCCCTCCTGGGGGTGCCTGTTCTCCGTGGCTCTGCTAACTGCCCAGCAGCCCGACAGTGAGGGATCCCGCCCAGACACCACCATTGTTCCAAGCAGCATCATGGGACTTCTCTGTGATGCGGTGTGCCTGTTCTGGTGTCCTTGCCTGAGCATCATGCCCAGTGTGTGCCAGGGGCCAGGACTGTTGGCCAGACACACCCAGGAGCAGCATTTCTTAGCCTTCTGCCCTGAGCAGAGGACCCTCCTCCTCCACACCCTCCTCCACCATCGCCCTTCCCCATGGAGGAAGCTAAGTGTTCTGCAGTCACCCCCTCTACCAGGGAAACAAGGGAAGGGGGCTTTGGTGAGGCTATGGTCCCTGAAGGGGCTATAAGGTCACACATGACTTGGAAAGGGTGCTAGGGTCTGGGGTCTTAGCTCCAGCAGCTGCCAGCTCTCTTTCAGAAAGCTGCAGTTCTGGAATGCACACAGTGGAATGGAGGGTGGGCAGAAAAGGAGAAGCCCATCTCGACACCAGCAATACTGACAAGAAGGGCTCTGGGAAGGGAGGCTGGTGGGCTGCAAGCTTAGGGGGCTTTAGGTGGCCTTTTGCTGAGGGGTCTGTGAGGGACCGTGCACGTCCCCATGGAGGTGATACCCGGGCTCCATTAGCCCCACTCCCCTCCTAACCTCTCTGTTGGACATACTGGGCCTCAGGACCTTTCCCCATAAGCTTCTCACTGCCTGGTACTGAGCCAAGAGCATCAGCAGAGGGGACAGGATGGATTTGGGTCCAAGGCCCAGGCATCATGGGCCTGAGGGTCTTGCTACAGCCTGCAGCCCTCTCCCTCCCTGGCACCGTGCCTTTGGGCAGTCTCAGTCTTCATGCCCACAGCCTATGGCCTGGAGGCCCGGACCAGCTGCAGTGCCCAGCACAAGGTGCAAGAAGAGATGGTTGTGGCCCTAAGCTGTCCCCTGCATCTTGTGAGTCTGGATTTCTCCCTGACCATCAGCACAGTGGTCATCAGCCTAGAGGGCGGGAACTTCAAGGACATGGTGGGGGCACCAAATAAAGACAAAGCCTGGGGACTCCTGGGTGGTCAATCGGTTAAGCGTCTGCCTTCGGCTCAGGTCGTGACCTCAGGGTCCTGGGATCGAGTTCCACATCAGGCTCCCTGCTCAGCGGGGAGTCTGCTTCTCCCTCTGCCTGCCGCTCCCCCAGTTTGTGCTCTCTCTGTCAAATTAAAAAAAAAAAAAAAAAGACAAGGCCTGAAGCTGGCCCCTCTTAGCAGGAGGGCAAGAAGCTCCTGATGCTCTGAAAGCAAGGCCTGAGTCTTGCCTGCTTTTGGAGTCATGCCCGGCACCCAGCAGAGGCTCCGGACATGTTTGCTGACCGACCCGGATGGCCCTGGCAGCCTCACAGCACAGCTGGCTGGATCTGCTCCTGGCATGGGTGGCAAAGAATCAGCCCAATTCCCAAGAGCTTTGGTTCCTGGCCTGGCTTCCGAATCGGGAGTGTTCCCTGTAGAAACCGGGGCTGCCATGGCCTGAGAGAGCAGCTGCCCGTGCCCCCCTCCTCAATCCCTTATCTCAGTCTGAACTGTATGTCTTCACACCTTAGTGTGCAGAAGCTGCAGCTGGTCAGGATGCTCCGGGGGACAGGGTGGTGGCTGAGAGGACAGGCTCAGGGGCAGCTAGGCTCAGGTTCAAGGCCCAGCTCTCCCATTTGGATGAGTTCCTTTACCCATCTGTGCTTCCCTATCTGTAAAACGGGAATAAAAACAGTTATTACCTAATAGGCTTGCAAGGATTTAATGAAATAATCTGTGCACAGCATGATGACTAAAAATATTTGACAACAGAAGTCAAGGGCACTGGGGCGCCTGGGTGGCTCAGATGGTTAAGCGTCTGCCTTCGGCTCAGGTCATGATCCCAGGGTCCTGGGATCGAGTCCCACATCGGGCTCCCTGCTCCTTGGGAGCCTGCTTCTCCCTCTGCCCCCCTCTCTCTCTCTGTCTCTCATGAATAAATAAATAAAATCTTTAAAAAAAAAAAAAAGAAGTCAAGGGCACTGACCAATCAGAGCACAGCCTGGTAGTAAACCACCAGCACCGCAGTATAGGCTGAGTATCGGCCCTGGCACCAGGGCTGGCTATGAGCTCGCTATTCGTATCATCGATATTACAGAAGCTGTTATATTAATATTACAGAAGGGCAAAGGGCGTCCAAATCAGGAGATAGGTCAACCCTCCCCTATCGGGGAACAACCACAAAGAAGCTCCCAGAATGAGTGACAGGGTGGGCCATCTGCGGAGAGCAAACATTTTCAGAGACAATGTCTATAGATATTAGCGTGGGAGACAGGGACCCAAGTCCCCTCAGGGAATCAGGCTGTGATTGCAACAGAGGAGCCAGAGTGTGGCAGGGTTCCCAGCCCTTAATGGGTGTCCCCATAAGGTGCCACCTCCCCCCCACCCCAGTTCTGTCACATCTGGCCAGGAAAATGGGAGGGAGGGTCAAAAGTCAGAGGTAGACTTCCTTCTCAACAGATTTCATGTAACATGCTAGATGGGATTTAAAAACTGAGAGTAAACACATCTTCCAAATAAAATCAATGTTTCAGAGTTCATCGGTGAGCAAACAGGAGCACTGCCCCTCGGTCAAAGCCAGGTTCTCCAAGAACAACCAAAACAATACAAAGGACGAACATGGGGCAAATGGATGTGTTTTCAGCCGAACTGAAACAATGGAAATAAAAAGGATATAGGCCTCGCAGGGATTAGGATTCCTCCCCTCTCTTCTTACTCAGATAGCTCTTTCCTCCTCCAGCAGAGCACATAGCCAGAGGGGGCCAGATTGTGTCTTCCTCTTACCTAGAGCCAGAGAGCCTTTTATCTTTTATCTGGCCAATTGCACAGGAGAGTCCAATAATATCTGTTCAATTAGTGGATGACTGATAATAATAGCAAACATTTATTCTGTGCTTACTAAGTGCCAGGTGCTGGGCTGGGCCCTATGTGAAGATAAGCTCGTTCAGTTCTTTTATAACAGGAATCACTTGCCCCATTTTACAGATGAGAGACTGAGGCTCCGAGAGGTCCCGTCATCTGCCTGAAATCACACAGATCTCAGATCACACAGAGATTTTGGCAGAGATATGGGCTCAGGACTGTTAGACATCAAAGCTCAGGTGGGTAAAGGATTCACAGAGAAGGGGTTGCTTCATGCCACACTTCTCCAAGAGTGGTGCCCATTGGAAGGCATGGTTTGTGAGTTTAATCCCATTTTAACCAGCCCCAAGGGCCACTCATTGTTTTGTTTTGTTTTGCCTATGCCAAAAACGCTTTACTGAGGAGTGCTCAAAAGGAGCAGGCCATCAGATGAAATTTGGAATCATTTTCTCAGTTTTTTTTTTAAGATTTGTTTTTTATTTTATTTTATTTTATTTTATTTTATTTTATTTTATTTTATTTTTTAAAGATTTTTATTTATTTGACAGAGAGAGACACTGTGAGAGAGGAAACAGAAGCAGGGGGAGCGGGAGAGGGAGAAGCAGGCTTCCCGCTGAGCAGGGAGCCCGATGTGGGGCTCCATCCCAGGACCCTGAGATCATGACCTGAGCAGAAGGCAGACACTTAATGACTGAGCCACCCAGGCACCCCAAGATTTTATTTATTTATTTATTTATAAGCTTTTTATTTATTTATTTAACAAAGATAGAGAGCACAAGTAGGCAGAGCGGCAGACAGAGGGAGAGGGAGAAGCAGGCTCTCCGCTGAGCAGGGAGCCTGACGCAGGACTCGATCCCAGGACCCTGGGATCACGACCTGAGCTGAAGGCAGCTGCTTAACCGATTGAGCCACCCAGGCGCCCCAAGATTTGTTTATTTTAGACAGAGAGAGTGAGAGAGAGAGAGAGAGCGCGCATGTGGGAGCAGGAGAGGGGCAGAGGGAGAGGGAGAGAATTTCAAGCAGACTCCCTGTGAAGTGCAGAGCCTGACTCAGGGCTCGATCCCACAACCCTGAGATCATGACCTGAGCCAAAATCAAGAGTCAGGCACTTAACTGATTGAGCCACCCAGGTGCCCCTCCCAAAGTTTTTAAAAATAGTTTTGAGATATACCACACATACCATACAATTCACCCATTCAAATTATAAAATTCAGTGGTTTTGGTATATTCACAGACATGTACAACCATCACCACAGGCAATTTTATAGCATTTTCCTTGTCACAAAGAGAACTCAGTATCCTCAGCTATCACCCTTTATCCCCTCCATTTCTCTCAGCCCTAAGCAACCACTAATCTCCTTTCTGTCTCTGAAGATACTTGCCTACTCTGAACATTTCGTATAGATAGAATTGTACAGTTTGAGGTCTTTTGTGACTAGCTTCCTTTGTTTACCATGATTTCAAGGCTCAACAATGTTGTACCATGGATCGGCCTTCACTCTTTTTATGCCTGAGTAAAAATCATTGTATGGACATGCCACATTCTCTTGATTTATCCATTTACCTCTTTGGGTTGTTACCACCTTTTTTTTTTTTTCTTTTTTTTTTTTTTATTCTTATGTTAATCCCCATACATTACATCATTAGTTTTAGATGAAGTGTTCCTTGATTCATTGTTTGTGCATAACACCCAG